CCTTCTGCAACTGGTAAGTTTCGTGCATAACCTCAAGTTTGCACGTTGTAAAAAGCGAATTTTAATGATGGGAAAAGTGATGCTACAAAATAATTTAATTTCTTGTCCAAAATCATCTTCTTTTCTTGTTCAGCCCTTCGGCAACAAGGATTAATTCCCGTTCCACAAATTGATGGCAATCCGAGAGTAAAGTCACGCGAATAAACTGTTCCACTGTTGTTGTTCCTGAATATTTTTCATAATATAATTTTGTTATAATAGATAAACGACCTGTAGAGAGGCGTCTTGATGGACTTTGCGTTTACGGTTTTGTTTACTATTTAAACTTACTGCATACAGATAAGAGCGCGCATGCAGAGACCATTCAACGTTTAAATCCAGCTGGTCTCGCAGCATTTTCCCGCGAGACCAGAGCTGAACATCACAAACAGGAGGAAGCTACACGGCAAATTTGCAAACCCGGAATTGCGTAACGTAACGGCTCAACCCTGTGCATGTACATAAAGCCGCGCCCCATGCAAAATCATGTCTCCGTTACACTAGTCAAATGCCTTCCTGAAGTACGAGCATGAGTCGAGTCAAATATAGCCATGAACTTCACCTGAAATTAAATAGCTCGTTAATAAACGAGATACAGGGGTTAGACAAATAAGGGAAACACCTGAGAAATCCACAAAATATTTTTAGTCTGTTTTAGTCTTGCCACCTTTTAAGGCAAGTAGAGCCTCAATTCTCTGAGGTATTGATTCATACACATTGTGATTTGTTTCCTAAGAAATTTCAACTCATTCTTCAGATAATACTCTCTCTTGCTCTTTCAAAGACGATGGCGGCAGGGATCGACTTCTGACTTGCCTTTTCTTAAAATCGACCATAAATGCTCTACAATATTTAGGTCTTGTGAATATGGTAGCCAAATAAGATGCTCAACTTCATTAGAATGTTCCTCGTACCATTTCTTGAACAATTTCAGCTGTATGGGTCGGGGCATTATCATCTTGATAGATGGCGTTCCCCTCCGGAAACAGTGCAATTGAAACATTGGATGAACTTGGTCCACCAAAATTCCTAAATAGTCACGGCTGTTGATTCTTTCATGACGAGAAATCATTGGTCCACCGGATTTCCAAGAAATAGCACCCAGATCATCACAGATCCCTCCGTCATGTTTTACGGTTGGGAGGAGGCAGTCGGGATTGAACTACTCTTTTTGCTGTCTCCAAACGTAAACTCGGTCAGAGGTTGGAAATAAGGTAAACGAAGACTCGTCAGAGAAAATCACGTTTTTACACTGCTCGGGGACCAATTCTGTAGGTTTTTATACAACTCTAAACGCCTTGAAGCATTTATATTTGAAACCATAGGTTTTCTAATTGCATATCTTCCATATAGAATCCACATCTCCGCAGCTCTCGGCGGACAGTCTTTATGGAAACTGGGTTCTGTAAGTATCCTTTGAGGTCTGTTGCATGGTGTCTATTGAGGTCTGCAGTATTTTAACAGCCGTGGTCTTTCGATTGTCCCTCAAAATTTGATTTAGGTACCGACGGTCTCTCTCAGACAACTTCGACTTTCGGCCAGACCTGTGCTTTGCTGAGGACGTTTTCCTTCCTCTTTCAGAAGCAGTCATTACTTTTGAGACAGTGCCTCTATAAACGTCAAGCATTCGAGAAGTTTCTGTTACACTAGCATCTGCCATAAGGGCATCAACAATTGGGATTCTTTAAAAGTCAGAGAAGTTTGCCATTGACAGATTACCGTTAGGTTATAGACACAAAAATTTACTAAAAATTCTGAGCAAGCTTATAATTTCAATTATCAGCACTAATAAACAGTAAAACATAGCAATATGCCACGCTTTCATTGTTTACAAACAATATCAAAAGGTCTGGTGTTTCCCTTTTGTCCAACACCTTGTAGTACCTCAGCGATCTTTTGTTGATTCTTTCGACAGTCCTGTTAAAAAAGGCACATGCGTGACGACATAGCGCATACGATAATTTCACCTTTCAACTGTGTCAAGAAGAAACATAGGCATGCAAATTTCTAAGATTTACTCTGCTTCATTTGTTACAATTGAGTACTATTTTTAAATTAATTGAGCAATTTTTCCAGCATTTCTCAAGAAATCAACGACTGCCACGCGTTCAATTCAACTGGCACCGACATAATTAAAGAGAAGGATGACTTATATAACAGATTCAGGCCAGAAGCACAATCGATAATAATTTCAAAAGCGCTTACTAAAGTTACGTTAATTTTTGGCATTTTTTCGCTATTTAATCTGATTGCAAAAAATAACAATTGCTATTCAATTGTGGTCATTTATCAATTATAAATTCATCAAATATTCTATCGCTTCTCCGTCATGTCATTCACCGAAAGTTGATTTTTCTTCCAACCTGCAGATGGATCCTGTCTAAACCCCTTGCTTGGTTCTCACACTACCGTTTTCTCATCACATTATACGGTGTGATATGGCGTCGGAAGGAACGGTTCGTAACATTTATATAGCTGAGTATAGGCTGATGAAAAGGCACATATACGAGCAATGAAAAGAAAATTTGAATGATAATGACGACGAAATATTTAGTTTCAATGAATTTTTGACATAATAAACGAGATTGCAGAAACTATATTTACATTTAAGTACTTAAAATTAAATTTTTATGCGGAAACTGTAATTTTGACCGAGTGGATATATCTAAGAACAAGAATCATATCATATAATGACATATATTATCAATAATTAAATCATATGACATATAAAACATGCACATCACGCGTCATTTTCAACCGCTTGTCCGTGTGAGAAGCCGCTATATCAATCCGGTTAAAGCCGCTATATCAATCCAGTTAAAGCCACTATATCAATCCGGTTAAAACCGCTATTTCAATCCGGTTAAAGCCGTTTATAGGGGATCCAGAAATTTCCAAATTAATGATCGATATGAAAATGGCTAAATAGTGCTGAGAAATACATAAAAAGACGACAAGTCTGTTTTCTGAAGGAAAATTATACCATCAGATGACAAAAGCAAAAACGAGTTCTTCCGAAAATTGCGGCCAAATCAGAATTGAATGATCCATTGGACGATCGACACCGGAGCATGGCGCAATCCAAATGACAGGAATATTATGTCTAACAATAATTATTAGAATGGTTTATGAATCAGAAGAACAGAATACTAGCAGAACCACTACACTGAACACGTTTTTAAGGACCTTACACGTAAACAAGGCAAGGTGGCCTCCATAGTGGTATTACAGTTCCATAGTACAAAGATTGAAGCAGTAAGTGGTGAGTTCGATCCCAGCTACCAGCTACAGTTTTGGTCAAAATCAGCGAGGTGGCCGAATGGTTTAAGCACAGCAAAATCGGGGCAGTGAGTTGCGTGTTCATGACCAGCAACAATCTATGAATGTTCTGCGATGCTAAGAATCGGCGACACGCGCTAACGGCCTTATCAACGCTGGCACCGCTATTTGTTACTATTAAACTCCTGAGAGTTGCAAGTCCGCGCAACAGCAGGACTGCGTTGCACTGGACGACCAAGAGAAATGAAACAATCTTATAAACTCAAGATTAATAACAACTTTCGCATATAATTTATAGAATTAATTTGTCTCGAGTTCCCCGGCCAAGGGCATAATGGCTGCCAGGACTCAAGTCGTCAACACGGAACATCACATGGGACGTGACCGAGGGTCTCAGATGTGGGATTTGCTGGCGTTCTTTTAGTTTCTCTCTTGACTAATGAAGATTTGAGGTATTCTCCACATGTAGCGCGCACGTAGATTTGTTCGGGCAAGATGTATTCTATAATGATCTACAGTCTCACTTCATTATCAGGTAAACATCAACGTTTTACGTCAAACATGATATTCTGGCAAGCATCAACGTTTCGTCAAATATCATCTTCTGTCAAAGTACAGCGTTACGTCAAACATCGTGCTTTGGCAAGCACCATTGAGCGCAAACTGCAATATATAGTATCAGGTCGCAGCTCATATTTCAGAGTGACAACCAATAGATTTATCGTATCTATAATTACGTCTAAAACTGGCGTCTAACGAATATTAGCTTCCTTCAGCGTGCCAACCGTTATCTATATAAAAAATTCTTCAATTAATCACAAATAAAATTTTGCAATAATTACAGGTGCGTTTTTATTCTTAGGATACACAGATAAAAATATAGTTCTTATTTTTAAATTTTGTCGATGATTACGTAGTTATTCGTTTGACACAAGTGCCTCATCGCAAATTCTTCTCTATGAAAACCTCTTTTGTCCAAAACTTTTACATAACATGAGATGCGAATATTCGCATTGATTAAATTAATTTGATACCTTGTGAGATAGAACACCAGTTAAGTCTGGATGAATTAAAAGTAAAATTTTATCAAGAAAATTTCGTGAGGTGTTTTCCAAATATTACTAGTAGGCATTTCGAGTAATCGAGTGTGATCTTGAACTGTGCTTCTTAGGCATTCAAAACCCATTGTTTTGAATGCCAACAGTTTTTATTTCTAGGAGCATCTTCAAGTAGGTATATATCTTGTATTCGAGCGTCGTATCCGTGCTCTATAATACGATATTTTACAGTTACAGGATTGGTATTGATTGACCAAAATGCATTATTATAGATTCTAAGTATGGTATTTTAAAAGATTAAGGTCATTTGCATACCGCGCGCAACAGGTGGCGGCAACATTGCTTAGTCTCATGTTGACGTGCGGGTGTGTGTTGCCAAGCTGCCTCAGCCTGGCATGCGCCAGAGTTGGCAACAAAATCGCGGGGTTCGATAACAATTTACAAGCCTCCAAGGCTCCAACTCAATCATGACTTAAACTCCTAACATCAGATTCTTAAATAAGAGTACTACCTGAAAAAAATACATAGATAACTGATAAGTCTATTGTTCCAGGTAAATTTATTATGTATACATTTTTTGCATACGCATAATGCATGCATAATTTAATGTATTACAAAACTCACGCTTGCAACTGTAGGAATATCACAGCCTGCAGCATCGGATTTGCCACTGCAGCTCGCCATTTTTCTGTCCAGGATTGGAGAAGAAATCTCTACACAGGAGCCACGTGAAATAGAGTACGATTTTCCCGTTCAATTCAAATTATCACTAGAGAGTAGCTAATGCAGTTCACTTGTCTTAACTTAGTGTGATGGAAAGATGAATAAACGTGTCATCAACAAAAGCGACTTCAAGCACAGGTTTTAGAGGAAAAATTCACTGTCTGAAGCCATGAATCAATGCCCAAGCCTTCCTTACAGCGGCGCGTAACCACTCTCTCCGAACTCCAACAACACTCTGGCCAGGCCAACGTTATCGGGAATAGTATTTAAGTTCGAGACTCTCACGGGAACGTTGGCTAAAACGCCGAACTCTCAATGGAACGGCGTAGAAGATTTCAATTAGAGTTTCCAGTGGTCGCAAGATCGAGTTACTTATAATGCCATATTTTTAATACCTTGTAATATGATTTAAATAATGATTCAAGGTAGACGTATCAATAGAATTTTGGAAGACTATTTAACCTGAATTTAGCAAAAATTATTCAAATAAATAAAGACGAGTTCAATCAAGGTGATTATTTGTGGTACCACTTCATGTTGACTCTAGGCCTAATTTACTCATTGATAATAGAACATACTGAGCCTCTCTTATTGATAAAATAGTTCTAACGAATGAGAACTTCTTAAAGGATGCGATGGTAAAAGTTTGAACTTGTTCATCTGCATGAAGAAAGCTGTTCTATCAGTAGATTGTGTGCCAAATACGGCGCCAGCAGAATGTGGCACGCTGCTGCCGCCCTTGGCAATGTTTGGCGCGTGTTGCGTCATGCCCACAACAGAAGCCATTTGCATGCGGCAGGCAACTGCGTGCTCAATATGGCACTAGCTGAGCTTATTTATTGATAAATTATATAAATAGAAAATGCAATTTGTCAATAGCTGAGTTTGGGAGTGATTTTATCCGTTGTTTTTCCGACGTAAATAAACTTGCAGAAAATATTCAAGTTAACGAGTTACGGTAGTTTTATTTGAATTAATAATGAATATAAATGGTTTCGATGGTTTGCAAATAGATGTAATACGCGGGTTCAAATATTCATACTGCTTCTAGCAAAGAAGGAGAATCAAAATATTTCAGTTTTTAACACGTTTTTCTTATCTTAGCTTCGCGTTTGTTTGTTTGTTGTTAACATTGAAAACAAAAATTAGCCCACTTCTAATTGTTCTAGAGATCTGAAATTCGGCATGCAGACTATTTTCGCCTAACAATTTCAGATACAATCATAAAAACTAGTAATTAGAGAACGAAATTACTTTAATTGAGTAAAGTATATATATAGTATGACGTGCGGGCGCTCACGTTATAGACGAGCAGGCGCTAACGCTGCGTATCATCGATACGTACGTCAAGTCATACTTAATCAAGTCTTAATCGTTTTTCTTGTGGACCAAAAAGTAGAAAATAAAATACTTAAAAAAACTTTTAAAATAACACGTTTTTCTTGTGGACTAAAAAGTAGAAAATAAATTATGGTTCACCCCAAAAAAACGTGGGTCGGGCTGTACATTCACCGTCAAATTTCCAAAATTAAAGTGTTGTGTGCTTTTCGCTTTAATCATAAATCTGCCCGACACAAGTTTTTTTTTTGGGGCGAACCATAATTTATTTTCTACTTTTTAGTCCACAAGAAAAACGTGTTATTTTTAAAGTTTTTTTAAGTATTTTATTTTTAATAACTTTACTGTACACGTTTAGTCACATGCAAGTCTTGCATGTCGGCCGAAACCATTCATTCAACTGAAAAATGCATGCGCTTTCCTGATCATTAATGCAACTGTTTTTCATCTAATTTTACTGTAATATTCTAAAAATTAAATGCGCAGAAGAATGTGCTATGTACATTATCTAGCTGCTAGCACATGTTTCGTAAGTTCGGCACTTGCAGTCGATTGTAAGAACGTTTATGAACAGCCGTTATATTTCGGTCAACTCGAGCTTAGCACAATTCCATTAGATTAGAAGTTCAATAGAAACAGCCCTCAATCCACCGCTCAATTATTGTCGCACGAAAGTCGTCGAGCAAGTTCTTGGTGATCGACGCGGAATCTAGTTAACATCCAACCGTTTAGAACTTTAGATCTCTAACTTTCATTAATTCTACAAACCAGTCGCCGATCACTATTACGTCACTAACATTACGACCAACTCTGAATAGAGGCAACAGCTTCTGCCAGCCTTGCGTATTGAGTTACCGAGTTCTTGGAAAAAAAAACAGATGACGCGCTTTATTTTGTCATTTTTTCCATATCACACATTTCCTACACACAGAACCTCCAACTGTGGAATTTTCTTGCGAGTCAGTTTTGGAAACGATTTCGCTGCTAAAATGCCTACAAGAATGAAAAACAAAATAATTGCATTTTCAAATCAAGTGGTGAACATTTAGTTAACGATGCGTACACTTTCGAATCCATATAATTTACTCCCGTTTATTACAGTCCCTAATAAGCTTAAAAAATACCTTCAGATGCACATCCCTATACGGACTTGAACTGATGGAAGTTATTCCCTACAACAAAGTCCTGCGTTGTGCTGAAAGAAAGGCACTGCGTTGTGGTAGTTGATCTTCAAAGTGAGGTACTGCGTTGTGGTAGTTGATCTTCAAAGTGAGGCACTGCGTTGTGGTAGTTGATCTTCAAAGTGAGGTACTGCGTTGTGGTAGGTAAGAGATGATGACGGATACACAAACGTAAACTAAATCAATTCATGCTCAAGAATGTCCATCAATAAGGAACTGATCCACGAAAAAACGTACACACACATGAATTTTACTTTTTATCACAGCCAAACATTGCGCAGTAAACATAATAGCCGTGCAGAGGTTATTATAATTAATTCGACATAGCATGACACTTCAAGTGCAGAAGCTTCACAGGACAGGTTCATTAAGAAATTAGTAAGTTTGACCAGGACACAGGCCTACCTTTAACAAATTAAATACCTTCCATAAGGACAAGGTACACATCAGCAATACCTTTGTGCAGATCATGAACAAAATTCGTCGATATATTCTAAGTTCCATAATGTAATTATTACGTATTTACATTAAAAAGTCTTGCAACTGCATATAAGTTGATTTAACAAATTACTAATCCGTACTAATTAAAAAATCTCTTTGAAACATTAAATTTCATGCAACCGATCAATTTGTATTTGTCATACGACCGGGAGATCATCGCACCCGACATCAACTTCGATATTCGACAAATAGGTTGAGTAAATTTCACAACAAAATGCTAGGGAAACGATACAGAAGAGTCATGACAACTTGCCCATCTTGATTCAGTGACAGTTACCTCCCTCCTTTGAGTCCCCGGCTCCCCGGTCCGCTCGCTCTTATCCCAAATTGAAGAAAGCAGACTGGCCCACCTTCATAACGGAAGCCGAGGCGGTCCCTCCCCCCACCTCGTGCGGAGGTGAGTCGACCCTCAGAGGCGTCCTGGCGGCTGCTGCCAAGCAGCACATCCCTGCTGGTTTTTGAAGAGTTCTCCCGCTCAGTCAACCCTGGCACCCGGTTGCTTATGGAGCAACGGGATGTCATCAGGGCGCGCAACCCAACCAATCCCCGGCTTCCAGAACTCAACTAGTAAATTACTACCTCAATACAGGTCCAAGCCAGGAACACCTGGCGGAAACGGGAGCGCAATTTTGTGCACAAATAAGCTTTGGATCGAACGCCTTGGATCTCTCCGGACCTACACCAATCAGCCGTGCACCACTCGGCTTTGTCCTCTTCCAGCCTTGACCACTACCTGCCGTGCACCACCAGGCCGCGGATCGAATACGACTTCCGGGCATCGTTAAATTACGTAATTTTACGTTCACCGCATCTAAGGTTAGGTTTCAGATAGCATAGTTCTATTCCAAAATTTATCGTCCTTCTACAAGTGGCCGTTCGACCGAGGGCTGGTTCGACCCACGGCCTAGATACGGACGGCTTGAAGTGTTGAAGGCTACGTTCCGGAAGGCAGGAAACATGATGCTCCATTACATCCAGGGCAGTGGTAGTCTTCGGCAGGCGACCCGCGGATACGTCTCGCGTCGTGCAACAAACGTACGCACGAGTCGAAGCACTGGAATCTCCTCCGCTCCCTAGCCGGAAGCGCAACCGCCCAGTCCAATTTGGTCAGACCCCCTCTCGTCGCAGCGCAGGATATCCACCGCCTTCTGCAAACTTTTCACCTCCATCGCTCCACACTCTCAAAGTCCATCCACCTGCCGCATTATGCGTCGAATTTGGGCTAAGCATCTCCTCGACAGGGATTTCTCCCCTTCACCCCCAACATGGTGAAGCTCGCCATCAGAACCGCCATTCATCCGCTCGGGGTACAGACGGCCTCACGGTCCTTCACCTTAAGCATCTTGGCCCACGTGGATTTCAGTTCCTTACCCGGCTCTTTAATATCTGTGTCTCCACGGCCTCCATTCCATCTATATGAAAAAAATCAATAATCATTCCAATCCTAAAGCCAGGTAAACCTAGCAACCAGGGCTCCTCCTACCGCCCCATCTCCCTCTTCTGTCCAGCGATCAAGATCTTGGAACGTCTTCTACTCCCATACATCTCAGAATCTCTCAACACGGTCTCTTCGAAACATGGCTTCAAACCAGGACATTCTAGTCACTGCCCTCCCGCTCGCGCACCAGATTGCGAAGGGTTTCAATTCACGACGGCCACCAGCCCGTACAGTGGCAGCTGCGGTCGACCTATCGAAAGCTTTCGATAGTGTCGTCCACCCCCTCCTCCTTAGTATGATCACGGCCTCAGACCTGCGTCACAACCGCTGGCTGTGCTGCTACCTCAGAGGCAGGATCACATCCTGCCTCTATCTTAGAACGCAATCTCCCTTCAGAACAATCCATTCTGGAGTCCTCAAAGGGTCGGTCACCTCGCCGGCCCTATTCAACCACTTCATCTCGGATATACCAGTACCGGCCCCAATATTGCCTTAAATGCGGACAACCTCACCATCTTTGTGTCGTTCCGGAGGCTGACCTCTCTGGGCTTTTCCGCGGTGTCTCAGACTGGTCGGCTGCCAAGAAACTGACCGTGGCTCCAGGCAAGTCTTCCGTCACGATCTTCACCCAAGACGCTCACCAATCCCGCCTACGCCCTTCTGCAACAATCTGCAATAGCATCATCCCCATGAAAAAAAAAACTCCCAGGCGTCACCTTGGATACCCACAATACGTTTTCTCCTTATGTCAGAGCCATAACCACCAAAGCAACGGGTTCCCTACGCATCCTAAAAGTCCTGTCCGGCACCAACTGGGGCTTTTCCAAGGAGGACATTATTGCCACCTACCGGACAATTACGCGCCCAATCCACAATTACGCTGCTCCTATCTGGTACCCTGTCGTCTCACGCACTGCAATAGCAAGCCTCTAAACCATCCAAAACTCAGCCCTGAGGCTAGCCACCGGCTGCCTCAAAATGGCCCCAATCGCCCAGCTCCACCATGAGACCAGCATCCTTCCCCTGCTAACCCAACTGTATCTGACCTTTGTTCAGTTTCTCGCCAGCGCCCTTCAGCCTACCCATACTTTTTTCCACATCGCCTCTGCTCCCCTCGGAGACCGCCCCATGAAAGGCACCGTCAAGTCAGGATTCGGCCCCCTTGTAGCACTTTTCCTGGCAGATGGCATCATGCCCAACGGTGCCTATATTGCTAAACGCTCACTCCGCAGGGAGATAGCCTCCCGCGTTTCGGCGACCGCCGTTAACAACGCTGTCCTCGCAGCAGCTGCACCGCCACCGATTGCATCAGAAGAGGCCTCGCTTCCTCGCCCCCTACCGTTCGGCGCTATCCCAGCTTCGTTCGGGATACTGTAGTTCCCTGGCGTCCTACATCCTACGTCGGACGCTCCTCTAACGCTGCCTGCTCGGGGTGCGAGATCCTCTCCAGTCCGTCCAGCATCTCTTCGCCTGCCCCTCCTTCCCCACGTTCCTCAGCGTCTCCTCATTGTGGGACAGTCCCATGGAGGCGGCGGCGTTCATGGCCACCCTCCCTGCCTTCGCCTATCTCCCCTCTCTTCCTTAGTATTTGTTTGGGACGTAGCAGTCCCAGGCCGCGATGGATCGCCGCCTCTGATTATCGTTCATCCGCCCTAATTTGGACCACCTGATGCACGATGTTGTTGCTTGCTTCTCGCCGCTGGTAGTGTTGCAGGGGAGGTCAATCTGGGATTATGTCCAGGAACACGTCCAGTTGTCTCTTGAAGGTCCTTCCGGTACCTTCCCCCGGCCACCACCGGAGCCTCCACCCCGGCGGCGCAAGAAACAAAAACAACTAAGAGTAATCACCTGACGTGTCCAACTCTGATTTGCGTTGCTATCGATCTGAGTGAATGCATTATTGCGGAATCAGTCACATTCTTGCACTTTTTGGTTGCGATGATCCGCCAAGGCTGTCGAAATAGAAACAGGAATTGATGCCGCCTGTAAAATACGGGCAGGAGGCCATAAGGGTGACTGTAGCGTGCAAATACCTGGTGCCACTGAATCATTTTTGCCTCAACCTCCCAAATCTAATTACCAGCCGCTCAACTGAGTCAAGTTTTGAAATATATTCAATGAGCCTTAAGCAATGTATATACGTAACCTCATTACAGTTCGTAAGGAATAGGATTTAAGGTTAATGAAGTAGTTTTAACGATTTGCCAATAAGGATGGTGTGCAACAATCCCCATCTGAACCAAAAACAAAATTTTATATTACACAACCATCAGTTATGTTTTATTCTATTTGAGATGCACCCGTTGTAGGATTTTGGGTACCAGTTTTATATATAACACATAATTTTGACGCATTCCTTGTTTTGACTCTTTCTTCACAATATTTGCTATTGTCGCTGTCATTAGTAATGATGGTGTCAGCTTACAGGAAGGTAAATCGAGCGTATGCAACGACGTACAGCTAGTAAATTTATCATAGGAGTACAGTAGCTGTCTGTTCCTTAGATCAGTGTTATGATACGTCATTTTCCTGCTTATGCATTTCCGTTGGGCTCTCAGTCAACGAGTTTTTCTGTTCCTGGAGTCGTTGGCGAGTCTCTTTCTGGAAACGCCGTAGGGTTTGTTGTTCTTTCTTCATAGCAATCTTCTCCCTGACGCTCCCACCACGTCCTCTGCCTCGGCCACGGCCTCTGCCTCTACCGCGGCTACTCTTGAATGGTGTAACTTGATCTTCTATCAGCTTAAGAACATCAACCTGTAATTGGATCTGAAGTTATGATAAAATAAAGTAATAAATTATCAATAACATGCGTAATTTCTCGTTCTTATCAACAATTTAGATATGAATAAGAATACATGTCATTGTCCAGTAGCCTTCAGAAGAAAAATATGGGGTCAACATGAATAACTTTTGGTAGCAATAAATTGCTTTCCAACAATGACTCAACAACAACAAGTAACAAATATGAGTGTTTCAAATCAATTAAAAGATTAATCTTTCATGCCGGAATAACTTGTAAAAAGTTGTAGAGCAAATTAAAATCCTCACGTCTTCAGGGATGTGGACGTAGCGAACTTTGCGACCCATCACATAGAATTTGGACAGAAGAATAGTGTGGTTGTTGCCATCAGTTAGCCGGGCATTAGTCATCTCAATGTTCATCTTCCTGGAACAAATTAATTAACGACATTAGTTTTGATAGTTCATTTTAGGTGTCTCAATTCATATTAAATTTTCTGACTTTATTCATTAAGTTAGGAACAAGATCTCTCCTGGGAAGTGTAGAGCAGAGCAATTACCTACAATACATCTGCAGAACAATTACAATACAACAACAGAGCAAGTACTATACAACAGCAGAGCAAGTACTATACAGCAGCAGAGCAATTCCAATACAACAGCAGAGCAATTACAACACAACAGCAGAGCAAGTACTATACAACAGCAGAGCAATTACAATACAGCAGCAGAGCAATTACAATACAACAGCAGAGCAATTACAATACAACAACAGAGCAAGTACTATACAACAGCAGAGCAAGTACTATACAGCAGCAGAGCAAGTACTATACAGCAGCAGAGCAAGTACTATACAACAGCAGAGCAATTACAATACAACAGCAGAGCAAGTACTATACAACAGCAGAGCAATTACAATACAACAGCAGAGCAATCACAATACAACAGCAGAGGAATTACACTACATCAATTGAAAAATCACAGTGCAGCAGCTGCCAAAGTAATGATATTAGCAAAACTGAACAATATGCTACAGTTTTCTTGACTTAAAGAAGTAAGTATCAGGCATGAATCAACTATAATCAACCATTAGCATGGAGTGAACTCAATTAAGAAACCAATCTAGCCCTGCACACAATAACATCTAGAGTGCCTTGTTTGAGTAGTTCAATTTATTGGATGCTTGCATTGGTTTTAATTTATGGATGCACTGCATACAAATAGAATGAAGAATGATGGTGCATTATATAGTTGAAAGCACCTGATTGCAAGTTATTCATTGGTAAATTCTTATACTGGACAATGGTGTGATTGGAAAAATTATGGCTTACAAGCAACATTACCTGAAATACTGCATAATGGATTGCAGCATCTAAGGCATCACTCATTAGATATTGCAAACCTCAGTCAAAACAGTGAAAAGCATTTAAATTGACTAATAGATTTTATGTGAGCACTAATCAATAAGAAAGATGAAGCTTCAAAGACATGGATTACTCACGCATCAGCATTGGTAATAGTGCCAGTCACATAGGAGTCATTGTGGAGTTCAACAGTAGTCTCACGGCCCTGCAGTCCAATGACCACGCAAGTCAAGGTGTTCAAAACTCGATACCGTGCTCTAGCATCAAATGGCTCCATTATAATTTCACACTAGTTGTAATACAATTGACTAAATGATCATGGGGGAAGAAAACTGTTAGTGCATACTTAAAGCAGATGTATAACAAACCACTTGTATGAAACATCAGGTTCGTTGGCAAACAGCCATTATCTGTCAGTTTGTATAGTGCCTCTCTTCATATTTTAGTCAGTTATTATGATGACATACTGTTGCCGTGAGGCTTCTGATCCCTTATCACTCAACCCTCATGCCTTTTATTGCACATTTATTTGGTCACCTATTTATTTTGACATGCATTCACCTTTGTCTTTCTGTTCCATTTGTTTCAGCTGCACTAAGTGGTGACAATATGCTAAAGTAAATTCCATTAAAGCAAATTCCATTATTATAATTATCAATTCTCCAAGTGAATTCCTCATTTAACTTCAACAAGGAGTATGCTGCCAGAACTGACAGGTTTTCCTGCATCACTCTGAAGAGTGAGTATTAGTAGGGATGTATGCAATATTCTTTGGTTAATGCTCTTTAAACCTGTCCCAGTAACTATTTAATTGCTAAATATGTCTTAAGCTGAATTACTTATTATTCTCAATCAATTTTACTATGGATTCTCTAAAAATTAACTCAATGGTGTGGTTCCATAGTCACCTCAGTTTTGTTTTCAATTATTGATTTTTATTCTGCATTCATTTAGTATTTAATTGTTAACCATTTAATTGACCTGATGATTTTGAAGTTATGTTCATGTGTGTTATTATTCTTATTTAGTCTATCCTTTTGCTTCCCACAACACCTAAGAGATTGAGGGAAGAATTGGTTTATGTTTGGCCTGGTTGGTGGTTTGCGGTGCACTTTTTACCTTAAGCTGCATCTGTCCACTTGCTTGGCAACTGTTTTATCTTAACAACTTTCTTACAGTAATAGGCTTGAGTAGGCTGTTTGCTGACAAACGTTTTCATTTTTCCTTTCAGTTATTGTTCAGCAACTCCCTGCCTGCCCATGCTCCGTAACCCATATTTTAACTGAATTCTTCTGAATTCATTTTTACTTCACATACCTGGCTCACCTCTTGCTCAGGGTATCTCATTACCCACTGTCTTTACATCAGTTCTTGCAAGTAATGGGCACTCATGCCCTTGCTTCCTTTCTTTATTATTAGCCTGAACTATTTTAACTCAGGGTCTACCGCCCTTGTTTGTAATAAAAGATTTGTAATGTAAAATCCCGTTTTAAGTAATTACTTTATTAGAGTTACTCTTTCATTCTCCAATGCATACTGGGTTGTTGCCAAAGAAACTCCAAAAGTAGGTGACGAGTTTGCCTCACCCGTGGCGGGAGACAGTACCCCGGCAACAATACCATGTATTTTCGGATATATATTATTCAAATTCCTACTAGTTTTAATTTAATTGTCACATGTGTGCTGTTCACTAATCTTGTATGACATGGGCCTTGCTCTTTACTGGTTTGGTTACACATCTGGTAATACCGTCAAACGGGGCTACTCGGGACGGTTTTGAGCGTTTTTTGTTAATAACTTCTTACGATGTAACATTTCATAAACAAGTTTAGGCTCATTTTACAGCTCTTTGCGAGGGCTATCGAATGGCATCTTCAAAAAAAATTCCATATGCTATTCGTAAGGTGCCAGAAGCAAAAAAAAGAGGGTCCCGAGTAGCCCCGTCGAACGGGGCTACTCGGGACACTGGGAATGAAACTTCATTTTAAAACACTTGAAGCATGCAGAGCGTACTCATCCATTACTAACAATACTCTGAAGTCCGCCTCTTTCATTGTAGATGATGTAGAGGTAGAATAAATGACATTTTCTGTGATTTTTACTTGTTTTTCCTTTATTGATATGATATTGCCATATACATTAATTACCGTATTATTGATGTGCAACTATCGTATTATTGATGTGATATTACCGTATCCATGAACATGCCATTGAGCATTTACAACAACCTTGTCCACTGCAAGCTTCGTATCAGCAGCCTTATAGCATTTTTTTCTTATCTGTAAGCTTACAGGACGGCTCGTAATTTCACATCATTTTAATTGGGTTAAGTGAATTTACTATAGTAAAAAAGATCGTGAAAAACATACCTGAAACAGAAAGGAATATTTTAGTGACAACCAACGTATCTTTTGGAGAAATAAATCGTAGTTTAGGTCAATTACTTTTCAATCAGGAATTTTTCAAAGCTAGTAAATGTCGTATTTTTCGACTGCCTTTATACTACATAGATAGGAAAAATGTTGACGTTTATGCCACTATATTTAGTTTTGCAATATTCCAATTAGTTTCGCTACTATAACAGTTTTACGCTGTGTCGGAGGTGCGTCCCGAGTTGCCCCGCCAGTCCCGAGTTGCCCCGGTTGACGGTACATATCCTACTGAAAAGAAATAATCAGTGCTTAGTGTTAGTGCATTAAATTGGTGCCTAAAAAAATTGATCCTATAGGTCAAGCTAAGGTAGGCATGGTTGATGGGAATAAGTTTGTGATTTTTGTCTGCAGACCATGATTGCTCTACCAACAAACAATAAAGCCAAATAGCAAGATGCATGTTCAAAATGTAGCCAATGATTTTCCCATCTTATTTGTTGTCTACAAGTAGACTTGGGTCACCATCACCTCTAGCCACATATTGTATATACTGATGTGTAAGCCCAGAATCAATCACCAATGATTTGGGCAGACTGCATTATTGGAGATTAGAATAATTTTCAAATGATGTTGGCCAATAATAGTTTGTGAACAATACTTACAATTTATAAACATTTCCATGTAAAGTTTTAGAAGTGATAACGCATGATCTATCATATATGTCACAGTGGGGGGTGTTTGTTGGGATATGACCAATATATACATTTCTAGAGGCATGATCTTGACACATACCAAATGGGATTATAATTCAAAGTTTGAATTTAATTAGATTTTAACATTTAAATGTTATATATGATCTATTATACATTTTCAAAAGCTTATTCATGTGGTTGCATCTTGACATTGCCAATAGAGCCTATTTGATTGTTAATGACAATATATATTGTGGAGAAGTGTAACATCCCAATATGACTATATCCAATAGTGATTTTAGAGTTTTAGCATCTACAATGGGCATCAGGCACAACCAGTGTTTCTGACATGTGAATTTCAAAATTCCTATACATTTTTAAACAGGAACCTAGTTTGAATGCTGCCCACAGTCATAGTGGCAACTAGCTGGTAGCAAGAAAGAGATTTTAAGAATTGGTTCATGTACCATAAAATGGGGTAACTTTGACCACTTTTTTATTTTGAAACAATGCAATTCTTTACTAGATAAGTTAAACTTAGATTGAAACATGCAAAATACAGGTCTATACTCTAGCTTTACTCACCATAAATTGCTGGCTCCTGCCTCTCATAGTGTTGATGTAATTTCAAAAAAGTGATGGTCTTTGTTACCCCAGCTCTTGGGGTTTCTTTGACCGGGTAGTAAAATCAATTATATTTTTTGGTAAAATAACTCCAAATAACTCCAGGTTGTGGTGCATTGTAGTAGAACTCTTCTAGTTACATATGCAAAAAATAGATTTTAGGAAAGTGTCATAGTTTGCAAATGGGGGGCGCCACCCCCCAATGGGCGAAATGTGACCACCTAATGGCAGCCGTGACAGGGTAACATTGACCGGTTTGGAAATTAAGTTAAAATTACCATATATAAGACTCTGTGGAGTCTGAAACATGAAGAAAAAAACATTAATAGGTGTTTCAAACATAAAATATGTTATATAGGTACCTATGGTAATTTTAACTTAATTTCCAAGCCGGTCAATGTTACCCCGTCACGGCTGCCATCAGGTGGTCAAAGTTCCCCCCTTTGGGGTGCGGCGCCCCCCATTTGCAAACTATGACACTTTCCTAAAATTTGTCTTTTGCATATGTAACTAGAAGAGTTCTACTACAATGCATCAAAACCTGGAGTTATTTTACCAAAAAATAAAAAATTGGAGGGGGTACTCTGACAGGCTTTAAATAATAGCTCTTTTTCGTAGGTCACATTATTAATTTTTTGACCTATTAGATATGCAAACTTTTTAAATCTTTCTATTGTGTTACGTAGCCTCAGTATTAGGCCTTTGATGGCCATTGACAAAATTTTTCTATGTCAAATCGTTTTTGAATTTTGGGGGTTTTTGTTAAAAAAACAAAAAGTGGTCAAAGTTACCCTGCCGGTCAAAGTAACCCCATTTTACGGTAATCCAGTTAAAAATTGTTGTTCAGTATACTAATTAAATAAATAGTGTTTACTATTCTACTTTTGGATAAGGGCAGCATAAGAACTCTCTCGTCTGAAGCTATGCATCCAGTTCCTTTCCTCAATAAATTATAAATAGATAGGTAATAAACTGATCAATGTGATCATAGATCTGTCTGCAGACTGTTCATGGTTATTCTTTTTTATTTGTACTCTACTGAAGAAAGTTTCACAAGCAATTTAAGAAAAAATGCAGGCAAAAATATAGTTTCCCTGAACTTTACCTAAATAAATTAATCAAGGCAATTAGAATGGGTGGAATTGACCGCAATTGTGAGTATTATTCTCACTGTCTCATTCATGCTTCACAATCACAAGTGGGCCAGTGGATCAGCACTAGATTGGCTTCTGCCCAATCTTTCAATTCGACTTTGATCCTGAACCTGGACCTGAAGCTACCAGTACCAAGATCTTAGAGTGCTGTCTGTATTCTATTATTGTTTTGCATCATTGTTTTTCAAAGAGAATAGATCATTTCTATCAAAATACAACGGCCATTAGCTTGAATCTGCATTATAGCCAAAGTGGAAAATAGGGCAGAAGTCACCTGTGAGTGAAACTGAAATGTCCATGAATCTGGTCAATTTTACATACCATCAAACAGGGTATAAAGGGATGGGCAGGGTAATAAGGGACAGTTCTCGAACATTTCGTAGAAATGTTGTAGCAACTAAGCCAATTAAAGTATTGCAAAACTAAAAATAGTGGCATAAAGTTAAACATTTTTCCTATCTAAGTAGCAACCATTGTAATACTAAGTACCATTGTAATAACTTCAGCTGGTTCCTTTCATTATAGGTTCCACAAATAACCAAGTGCCAACCAATTTCTCGTGCTTGTAGGTTAACAGAATCCG